TCAATTGCAGTGCGCTTAGGTAACCATTCTCTAGGTAGGAATCTTAGGATTTTCTAACTGAATCTTTAGTTTCAAAAGTTTTTCCTAATCCCTTTAGTCTGTTGACTAAATCAATAAACCGTTTATACATGCTAGAGATTGATTCTCCTGAACTCATTTCAAAAGATTATACTCATTCAACAAAACATAAATTCGACTTTCTTTAACCTTAGACGTACCTTCATGGGTGGCCTGAAGAGACTCCCTAATCTCTTTAGCAGACTCACATTGTGCAACTTGGTTCCTTTCTTCTGGACAAAGTGCTGGAAATAAGATATGCATGGCTCTTGAGTGAAGATGTGAAGAAATCTTGTGCTCCTCTTTCCATTCTTCTTCATCCTCATCATTCATAGGCACTGGTCCTTTTCGGACGACTGCCCACAATTCTCCGTTAATGCCACGAAGATAGATTCGTGTTCTCTTCTTCCAGACTGTATAGTCTGTTCCATCAAACCACGGCGGATTTGTGTTTGCGTAGTAGGAGACTGCGGTTGATGTAGACCTAGGCATCCCATGACCCTCTCTTTGGCGATAATTAGTCCTTCAAAGTTCAAAGAGCAGGCTCTGATACCAATTGTGATTTTGTGGAAGAAGGGATTTTATTTAAGTAAAAAAAGGGAGAAATTACAATAGGAAAACTGCAAACCCTAAGAAGAAATCGAGCACTGATTTTAAATCAAACTAATTCCCAAGCTCGATTCATAAACAACACAGACAATCGAGCTACTGAAGTAAACCTAGAACTACGGACCCAATACAGAATATTATACTCTTCCAAATCTATCTATAACTGCCCGAAGAACGGCTTCATTTTACATTGAGGAGACGTATAAATAGAGAAGTACTGGAGGACCGTTGATGTCTTCGTCATCATGATCTTCCAACGTTATTGTCACCCTAATATTTTGTAGAGGGGCCACTTTTGGAGAAGAACGAGGAAGAAAAGGGAGGAGCAGCTTTACCGGAGATTGGGGATGATCTGAGAATTCAGTTTGAAGAGCGGACTTGGAAGGACGATAACGAGTGTAGTACGCAACGTTTGAATGGAACGTTGTCGTAGAGATCTTCTGCCAGAACGACATCGTTTTGTGAATCTTGCTCAAACGACGTCGTGGAACAAGTCAACACTTTTGAGCACATGCATGATTTGGAGGAAAGGGTGATTAGTGAGTTCTTTAGAGAAAGTGATCTTTCAAGTACTAAGGATGGAAAGGATGTGAAGGCAATTGCACTCGATCAACAGTTTTGGGCTGATTGTGACTTCATTGTTAAGTTGCTTCGAGTTGTGGATTCAGATAGTCAACCAGCAATGGGGTATGTGTGTGATGGGATGACTAGGGTGTCAAATGCTATTATGAATGTTTGTGGAGATAATGCGGAGATGTACAAACCATACATGGATATCGTTAATAGAAGATGGGATAAGCACTTGAGCCGTGATTTGTTTATGGCAGCTCACTATCTTAATCCGACTATGAAGTATGCTGATGATTGGACAGAGGATACAATGGTTACATTTGAACTTCTTAATCTTCTTGAGAACTCGTCTTTATGTCCTGATAATAGTGTGGTGGTGGCGGGGATGAATTTGTATGCTGAAAGGTCAGGAAACTTTGGGAGGAAGATGACAATAGATTCTACACTGAAACAACAACCAGGTAATTGATATCACTTGCATTGAAGCTCTTCTATTTATACAATATTTAAGAAACTAACATCTATGTTTTATATGTAGATAAGTGGTGGAAATGGTTTGGCATTGATGCTCCAAATATTCAGAAGTTGGCTGTTCGAATTCTTAGCCAAACTGCTGCTTCTTCTGGTTGTGAACGTAATTGGAGTGTCTTTGAACGTGTGCATACCAAAAGAAGAAACGGATTGCAGCATAAAGTGCTTAGTAACTTGGTGTTTGTGAATTACAACTTGCAATTGCAAAATAGGTAATGATTTGAATTATAGAACTTGTGTGTTGAATTCATACTTTCTATGCTTACTATTGAATTGAATTATTTTATGTTTTCTACTTTGATTAGGGAGTATTATACCAAGAACAACAAAAAAATATGTGATCCCATAAGCCTTGAAAACATTGATTCTACTATTACTAGTCACTGGTTATCGGAAGGGGAAGAAGGTCCATCTTCTAGGGAAAAGGAATTGGATATTGATGAGCTAGATCGAGCATTAGAAGAGAGAGATTTGTTTGTAAATCAGTTATGTATGATATGAATTCTAATACTAATAATTGATAATAATTCTTACTTGTTTTCTCTTGTATTGTAGTTGGTGATGAAGAAGATGAGGGGGACGACTTGCAGAATGTTGACTTATCTACATTTAGTGTTGTTTGAAGATATGAAATGTTGTTTGTGAACGTTGTAGTCCTTGTTAGTTTGAGTTTGTGCTAGTTGTGAACTTGTGGTTTGAGAATGTCGTTTGATTGTTTTGTACTTTGAGCGAAAAGGAAATGTTGTTTGGTTTGAGAATGTTGTTTGAACTTGTGGTTTGAAAATGCTGTTTGGTTGTTTTGTACTCGATCGTAAACATGCATTTGAAAGATTATGTAGTTAATTCAGTAATGTTGTAGTTTGTTGGTTGTTATATTAAATATGTCTATTTAGTTTATTCAGGTTTGTTATCCGGTATATTCCGGTATTATTCCAAAACGGTATCCTGAATCTGCCGGTGCGGTTTTTTAACAAAAAATATTTTTTAATTACAAAAATGGTATTTTGTCGGTACCCAACGGTTGAACCACGTTAGTACCACAATTTAGAGTGGATCTGGTATGACTTCTGGTACGGTTTCTTTTACCATGATAATTAGTACAATTTAGAGTTGGTTTGACATGGTGATGACAACACGATGGTTGGCCTTCGGTGAGGTGGTTGGCTCCGGCAACAAGTGGATGTATATATTTGTTTTAGAGTATAAGTGTTTGAAAGACAAAAAATAAATTAAGGGCAGTAAAGTAAATATAACATATTTAGGACGATGAATAAGGATTTTTAGGGCGACGAATAGAAATCGCCTTATACATACTATAAATTGCAAGTTTGGTCACTTGAATTACTAGTAAAGTTTACGTTAGCCACTAGAATTACTTTATTTCATCCGTAGTCACTTAAATTGATTCAGCAGTTCAAGTTTGATTACTTTCCGTTAGTCTCCGTTAACTTTGTCTGACGTGGCAGTCAACTCTGAGAGTTGACCGTTAAATAAGTGACGTGTCAATTATAAAAAAAAAATTAACATTTAAACTTTTTACAATTGCCGCCTCATTATTACAATAAATTAAAAATAAATAAAACAAAAAAATTATAATTAAATTGAACACGACTACGAACAATACAGCCAGTTGAAATTGTCGGCATCGGAGATCCATTCCGGCAGCCACGGGATCAAATCGGAGAGGAGGAGAGTGGTTTTGTCGTCGCCGCTTTGGTTTTCCTCCATCTTCTTGTTCCATTCATTGCAACTGGTCTCGAGCGCGTAGTTGGTGACACCCGTTTCAAGTTCTTCGGGTTCAAAGCTCGAAAAAACATGGTAAGGGCAACCCAATGGCGAATCAACAGCTCGATCGCCTCGTGAAACCCGAACTTAGTAGCATAATGCAGGGGCAGTTGGCAGTTTCTGTAAGAAACCTGAGGATCTAGGCATCTTACGTCTAGGGTAACACGATTAGGAACGATAGCGATTAGGGGAATTGGGCGAGATTGATTGAGGGATTTGAGAGAGGTGAGGGAGGAATGGTGGGGGAAGTCGGCGGCCAGGGTGGCCGACGAAGGAAGAGGGAAGTTGAGAGGGGGGTTTAGGGTTTTGGGGAATTCTGTTATTATTTGCTTAATGAGTAAATCACCCACTAATTACAGAATATATAACCTGAATAATTCCCACTAGCTACCCCAACTATTACCCTTGACCCAATTAATCCGAATAATCCTCAAATGCACCCAAAAACCCATAAGTAATACCCAATGTTTCCCAAACATAAATAAAACGACAAACAAGTCCAAATACCGAGTTAACCCAATAGTTGGGTTTCTAACAATCCACCCCTCTCGAAACCAACCTTGCCCTCAAGGTTATTCCTGATCACTTTGGTTTTCATTGGCCTCTTCTGCGGCTAGCTCCTCTGCTTCATCCTCCAAGTTGCCCACCAGCAGCATCTAGTGTCCTTTGGCGCACTGGTGTCCCACAGTATACCTCTCATCGCAGTTGAAACAACGACCATCTCTGCGCTTCTGCTCCATTTCCGTCGGCGTGAGCTTCACAAATCCTCACGGATGCAGCCTCGGTCCGGGACGCCCTCCCGCTGTCACCAGCGGTTGCGCCGTGGCCGCATTCCCGACCGGGGGACTCGCTGCTCCTCCCTGTACTCCGCTTGCTGCCGAGTAGCCCCCTAGGCCCTTCTGACCACGAGCTACCTTTCAACTTGCCAGCTCTTCTTCTTTGCGCCCAGCCAGTCGGAATGCTACCCGCAATGACCCTGGTTCAAACACTTTCACAGCCGCAGCCAACTCTGGCTTTAACCCTGCAAGACATAAACCAACCAGTGTCTCTTACGACATACCTTTGCACATATTCCCCAGCCGCAGAAACTCCGAGCGGAACTCCGCCACCGTGCCTGTCTGGCGCAGCTTGGCTAGCTGCTCCGGAGCCCAGCCTTCAGACTTCCCAAACTGGTACTGCAGCTCTTCCTTAAATCACAGCCATGTAATCAGCATTTCAGGCTCTCCATAAGACCGCTCCATCCGTTCCCACCATTGGAGTGCATCACCTTCCAAGTAGAAAGACGCCAGCTGCGCCTTTCTCTCCTCTCGGGTAGGGTGATTCTTGAACCACCTCTCTACAGCATAAATCCACAATCATGCATCCTCTTGGACATTGAATTTTGGAAACTCAATGGTCGGAGGCTTAGCTCTAAACACCAACTCATCATCGCCTTCATACACAGAGTTTTAACCACCATACCTGCCTATGTCGTGACCTCCGTGTCGGGGATCCCGGCGACTCCCACGCTCTGGCTTCCTCCATGTCTGATTATCAAAGCCCAATCCTTCCTCATCCTCGCTCCAGCCTCTGTCCTTAACCCCTGATCCTTGCCCCACCTCCCAACGCCGGTCCGGTCGATGCCGATAGGCTTTCGGTGTCATCATAGGAGGGTACACTGCATCCGATCCTCCGCCCATTCCTCTCCAGAAGCCAAGCAGACCCATTTTACCTCCACTGTCCACTGCTGCCCGGGTCAGGTTCGATCGATTTCCGTTCCAGCTCGACCAATTTGGTTCAACGGTGTTTGGTTTGGTTCGGCTCGGTCTGAATCGGTTTGGTTCGAGTCGTCTCGAGTCAGTTCGTTCTAGCTGGCCCCGCCCGATCCTGGGTCGCCCTTCTCGGTCCGACCACCCGCCGCCCAAACTCATCCGGTTAGGATGGTGGTCGACGGCCCATGGTCCCCCCTGGGGGTCAGATTCAGGCCATTCCCTGCTCTGGTCAATCAAACTCATCTTTTCCGCACTACGGGCCCAGCCGGTCCATTTCTTAGTTGGCCCATGGTTAACCTGGACCCGACCTCGCCATGCTTTGGGACACATGGGCTCGAAGCCCATCTCTCCGCCCACCGAGTCGTAGCCCGACGTCTTGGCCTTCCCGTGCATTGTCGCGAGCTCCTGGGCCGCCGGAGTCGGTAGCAGGCCCGACCCATGATTGGGTTAACCCGACCCTTTCCCTGCGCGCCTCGCCGCGTCCCCCGGCGGAACCACGCCGCTGTTTCCGCCGCCGCACTCGCCGTCCTCCGTGCGCGGCCTCGCCTCCCTCGCCCCCGACACTTCTTCAGCCGCCGCCATCACCTCGGTCGGCCTCGCCACCGTGATTGCCATGGTGGCGATCCCCCTTGCTCCCGTCCCCGCCTCTCCAGTTTGTTGTGGTGGTGCGGGCAGCCCCTGAGGCGCTAGGGTCGCCTTTATCAGCTCCATCAGTGACCTCAGATCGTCACTGTTCATTCTATACATCTCTTGGAGAGTTTCATTCACCTCTCCCATGCGAACATGAAGGCTGATCTGGTCATCCGCCATTGTTCGCAGCAGCCGCTTGATGTCCTCCTCGTGCGGGATATCCTCCACGGTCACGGTCTCCTGCAGCCTTCTCTCTGGGGATTGATCAGATGAACTCATCTTTCTCTTGACCCAGACGCCGAGCAGGCTCTGATACCACTGTAAGAAACCTGAGGATCTAGGCGTCTTACGTCTATGGTAACATGATTAGGAACGATCGCGATTAGGGGAATTGGGGGAGATTGATTGAGAGATTTGAGAGAGGTGAGGGAGGAATGGTGGGGGAAGTCGGCGGCCAGGGTGGCCGACGGAGGAAGAGGGAAGTTGAGAGGGGAGTATCGGCCGAGAGATAGAGGAGAGGAGAGGGGTTTAGGGTTTTGGGGAATTCTGTTATTATTTTCTTAATGAGTAAATCACCTACTAATTAAAGAATATATAACCCGAATAATTTTCACTAGCTACCCCAACTATTACCCTTGACCCAATTAATCCGAATAATCCTCGAATGCGCCCAAAAATCCATAAGTAATACCCAATGTTTCCCAAACATAAATAAAACGACAAACAAGTCCAAATACCGAGTTAACCCAATAATTGGGTTTCTAACAGTTTCCCACAGGTTCGAGAATGTCCAACCGATTGTGAGAGATTTTTCGCTCCAAAAGTGCGGTGATGCAACCTATTACTCTCGACTGAATCAACTACGCCACCACCTCAGGAGGGCAACATTTAGATTTAGGATCCAAACTGGATAAAATTGCTTCCACATCATCCTCTTCCACCGCCTCCTTCTTCACCATGGTACGGTATGTTGTAGGAGTAATTCAGGCAGCTCCGTAGAGATGAGATGAATCAGGACGCTCTGCAACGGTAAAAGCCAGAGGAGTTGCGAGAGAGAGACGACGGAGAAAAGAGATCCATTTCTTTCTGGATTTATTCAGGTAGACAAAGCCAATAGCGTCCTACTTCCACTATGATTTTAAGTTTTTACTATTTTAACCTACTTCAGACCCTCCTCTTTCGAGCCACCCATAAAATTCCAGGTTGGAAGGAAAAGATCCGCTGATTGACAGTTGGTGTGATCCATCCATCTCCGTTGTTTCCCTTCCTATACTGAACTTCCCTTGTTCCACACATGTTGCTCTGCTTCTGCTACAGCTGCAAGCAAGCAACTCATCAGAGTTCCAAGCCCATGGAAGACAATGATTATCAACATCACGACAAGGAGGAGGTAGAGTTGAAGCACATGTGCAAATAATGCGGCAAGCGCTTCCGTAGTGGCGCCACCAGTTGAAATTGTCGGCGTCGGAGATCCAATATGGCAGCCAGAGGATAAAATTGGAGAGGAGGAGAGTGGCGCCGCCGCTGCCGCTTTGGATTCGTAGTCGTGTTCACAGCCTGTTTGGATGGACAAAAAACTCAGAAATTGGAATTCCATTTCCAATTTTATTTCATTATTCTATGTTTGGAATGGTAAGAAGGTCGGGAAATGAATTCCATTTGAACCAAATATTGGAAATTAGAATTCCTATCAAAAGTGATAAGAATTGGGTTTTTGGAGATGGAATTAGTGGGAGACCGATTCATATTTATCATTATTTTAAAACTCCACTATCTTATTCCTCTCTTTCTCTCTCATTAGTATTTCATTTCTCAAGATAAAAAAATCTACTAAATCATTAATGATTGTTAAAGAGTACAATTCATTTCCATAGTTGTTGGAATTATGCCAAACACAAATATTGGAAATGAAATTCCATAAAAGTTAGAATTGAGAATGGAAATCCATTTCCATTTCTTATGGAATTGTATCCAAACAGGCTGTCAATTTAATTATAATTATTATTTTTACTTATTTTTAATTTATTGTCATAATGAGGTGGTAATTGTAAAAAAATTAAATTAAATTTTTATTTATTTTATAATTGCCACGTCACTTATTTAGCGTCAACTCTCATAGTTAACTGCAATGTTAGTCAAAGTTAACGGAAACTAACGGAGAGTGACCAAACTTGAACTGTTGGACCAATTTAAGTGACTACGGATGGAATAAAGTAATTCTAGTGGCTAACGTGAATTTTACTAGTAATTCACGTGACCAAACTTGCAATTTGAGATACATCCTTGTATTATTCATTCAACAAACAAATACATGTATTATATCTTTTATCTATTATAGTCTCCAATTTTAAAGTTTGTTCAAGTATGTTACATATTAAATCGAATAAGCATATAAGTAAACTCGTTACTGAATCATATATAATGTATATTTGATTATTTTCGTTATGATGAGTGAATTTGGCGATTATTTTTGAACTTGAGGGTTATATTTTACAGAAGAAAAACAAAATTTTGCAGATAGAATTGCTTCATCTAAATTGTATGTTGCCACACGGATCAATTTGGTCAGATTATTTCAAATCAAAACAATTGAAATAAGCTTGATCCGTTAGAATTTCTCATCCACATGATATATGATACCATTGAAAAACTCGATTATGAAAAAAGAAAACAAAAGAGCTCAAGTGTGGAACCGGCGGACCGTACTCCGTATTCAGTATTCACCATTAAATAGACGAATTTACAAAATTATCATTATTACATCACCAAAATAATGAAAGATATCTACCAAAAAAAAATAATTAAACATATATATTAAATAATAATACTACTAATAATAATAACAATTATAATGTAGAGCTATAATTTTGCCCAAAAATAATTAGAGTACAAGCAGAGCTATACAGAGGACCAAAGAGAAGAAGCAACACTCTGCCCCACCGGCGATCTCAACAACCCCCGAATCCCAACCCCACCGCCGGTCCCGCCACAAGCATAGATACTACAGTAAGTCTGAACCGCGAACATCCCCAGAAGAACAATGGCGCCGACCAACATCACAACCCTCAACCCCACATTCACAAGCAACTTACAAATCTTGGACATCAGCACCATTGGCTTCCCACTATAGTACTCGTTCACTTTCCCCACCGTCGCGTCCAGAACCGTCATCGTCCCCGCCGCCGGAGCCACCGGAGAAGACCCTCCCACCATCCCGCCGAATAGCGCCACCACCACTTCGTCGTCGACGTTCCCTTCCACGATTCCCTCTTTTTTAAGCAACTTCACGTCCTCTTTGCTCTGCACCATGGCCCGCATCATCTGCGTGTACCGGGTCAGGATCGCCGAGTCGGGTTTGGCCAGGGACTCGTAGGCAACGAGGTTCCTGATCACGATCTCGATGCTGGGTTTCCAGAGAAACACCGGGAGGGTTAGCACTGCGGTGGAGACGTTGAAATTGATGCTTCTTAAGCCGGCTGTGGTGGCAGAGAATTTCACCCCGACGCTCTTGAGGTCGGTCGCCGAAGGGACGAGGGTCTTTTCGTCTTCCAATGCTTTGCTTACGATTGTGGAGAAGCCCAGCACGTCCAGGATCTTGAAGATGCTGCTGATCGGCGTGCTGATCACTGCAATACGCAGAGTTCGAAGCTTTGACTTAATTCAATTGAGTATACTTGAAAGAATCCGTTGAGTATGGCAGGGGATTTCAATTTTCAATCGGCAATTCATATGATGAATTTCAGCTGATTGAAGAGAATTGGGTACCTTGAATTTGTGCAAGCTTCTCGATTTCATCAGTTACAGTAGAAGGAGAGCCGATGTCTTCGTAAGCATCATCCACTTTCTCGGAAAGTTCGTCGGCGAGAGTGTCTAATTTCGAAACGTCGATCCGGGTAGATCCCTCTCCCGTCGTCGGCGGCGGTTCGCCGCCGTCTGTCGGAACCCTCGTCGGCGGCGGCGGTTTATCTTCTCCCTGTAAAATCAGCTGGTAGACATGATCGAGGAGGTGCTTGGGCTTCAAATTGACAGCATCTCCAGACAGATCCCCTAGCTTGAAAGGAGCTAAAACCCTACAGAAAGACTCCAACATCGGAGCCAGAACCGTCGAAATTTCAGGGGAAAACAGAGAGTAGATCGGGATTTGGCTCTCGAGCATGACAATGTCGCCGGTAATGGCGCGGAGCTTCTCGGAGAAGCTGAACGAGTTCGCGGTCCGAGGCAATAGAAACTGCGGATTGTACAGCATCTCGACGACGAATAGGGCGTCGATTGCGAGCACCCAAGCGAGGGTTTCGTCGGCGAGATCGAGGTGGGTGTCGTAGAAGCATCGGATGGTGGGAAGCAGAGGAACAAATTGTCGGACGAGATTGGGGAAATCCGGGAAATCGAGGCGCTTGAGGGCTAACTCGGCGCCGGCGAGCTTGAGGGGCTCGTTCTGGTAGAGCCGCCGCTGGAAGTGGTGAAACGGGCCCAGGCCCACGAGCTGCGGGGCGTACGATTGGGGCTGGGCGGAGGAGAGGGAGGCGGGGACTTCGAAGATGGAAGAGAGGTTTTGGGTTATGGTTTCTGGGCCGAGTTGGATGGACTTGTCGATCTGCTTCAGCCATTCATGCTCGGTGAATGTGGGATTGATGATTGAAGACGGAGGAGGAGGAGGGGAAGAGGGAGATGGTTGAGGAGGAGGAGGAGGGGACGCCATATTGTGGGGGTGAATGGGGAAGGAAGGTGGGAGGAGTTGTTTTATGTTGTCGATTATTGGAGGAGGAGAGAGCGGTGGTTGCTGCTGCAGGACGGCGAACATGGTGGACGACGACAAAGGGGGAAAGTGCGTCAGTGCGAGGCGGAGCTGGCAGACAAGTTGGGATTGAAGGAGTGAGCTGGCTTTGGGTTTAGTAGGTTGCAAGCTGCAAATCATATGGCTTTTGTGGGCACCTACTAGGCTACTACCACATGATGTTAAACGTTGCCCCGGGCAAAGATTCAAAAGTGGAGATATAAGTACATACCATTCTCTTTTCCTTTTTTAGTGATTGGAAATGAGAGTGGGAGGTTGGGGTAAAATAATTTGAGTATAGTTACATTTTGTTTGAGAAGAGGGGTAAATGTGAGCGGTCAACTCAGTGTCCAAAATATTTGTACTTATTTGGTTAATTTGGAACATTAGAGATGTAAAATGAGAGTGTAAATTTACTGTTTCTACTTACCTCCAAATTGGGGTGCAAGTAAAGGAAGGAAGAGAGGGAGAGGGGGAATTATGAAATTTTATTTTTCTAATTGTGTTATATATACTTATATAGTAAATAA